GCATCACCCTGGTGTCAGCCCACCCCCGTGCCCACAGCGGGGGCACACGGTGGCTGCTCCACCCTACCTGTGTCCCTGGCACTGGTACAGCATCTCCACCTCCCGGAACACCCGGCTCCGGATGTGTCCCAGGCGCTTCTCTATGATCTGGAAGGCGAAGCGGGGGGAGGCTCAGGGGAGAGACAGCGCTGCCAGGGAGGGGCCGGGGTACCCCCACACCCTCCCCCCCGGTGCGGGGACCCCCGGGGCCGGGCGGGGAGCCCGGCGGGCTGGAGGCAGCAGAACAGGCTGTTCCCGGCGCGGGTGCCAAGCGGCAGCGCCGGTGCCAAGCCGCTCCCTCTCGGGGCCGGGGCCAAGAGAGCTCCATGTGACGCCCCAGTGCCGGCCCAGCCGAGGGCCCTTCGCCCCACTGGGCACTGCCACAGCCCCGGGGGCTTGGTGGCCATGCCACAGGGGGGGACAGGGGGTCCCCCCACCCATGGCCTTGTGGATGCTCCCCCTGGGCTCAGCCCTTTGGGGCACACAGGACCCCCCTCACCCCCAGCCCTCCCTGCTGCCTCAGTTTCCCCACTCAGAGACCCCCCCGGAGCAATGGGGGGAGGCCAAGCTGCCCTGGCATTTGGCTGCATTTGGACACGGCCCCCGTGTTTCGTGGCCAGGAGCCTGCAAGATGCAGGGCCACGGGATCCCCATCCCTGACCCCAAAAGCAGCTGGCTCACCCCAACCCCCCCAGCACCACCCCTGTGCTTGCAGGGGCTCAGAGACCTCCCTGGGGACAGCGGGAGGTGGCCACTCTGCCAGCACCACGTGCCCCCGCGTGCCCCACGTCCCCAGACACGTTGCAAGTGTTAATGTAAGCTCCAGTCTGCCCTAATTGACAGGGAGGGGAGCGGAGCTAAAGGACCCAGGGCCGGAGCTGGGTGGTGGCAGAGGATGGTGTGGCACCTGCACAGCCCAGCCCTGCCCCTCTCCTGCCCCTCCAGCCCAGGAAAAAGTCATCCTGTGCCAGCACCGGATGGTTCTGGGAGCTGGGAGAGCCCCAGCCTGGGGGGGACAGAAAGGGAAGCTGAGGCAGAGCTTTACCTTCACCGCGTACTCCTTGTTGGTGATGAGGTTCACGCAGGACTGGACTCTGGCGTGGGCCCCTTCTCCCAGCACCTCCTCCTGCAGCTGGTAAACATCTGGCAGGGGAGAGGCCACTTGAGCTGCCAGCTCCACCTCACGGGGCACCACTGTCCTGAGCCTGGGGACAGCAGGAGGGCCCAGCCCTGCCCCAGTCACCCCACTCACCCTCAAACCTGCCCGAGAAGCTGTCGGTGGCCCTGCAGCGCTTCTTCTTCTTGTTCCTCTTCTTGGCGTCAGGGATGTCGATGGGTTGACTTGAAGGCATGTCTGTGCCAGAGCAAAGCCACCACCATCAGTCACCACCTCTGCTCCCCCAAAGGGACCACCCCCAGGGCAGCCCCCAAAGCTTTTGGGGGACCACAGAGGGCCGACATCCCAGAGACAGGGATGGGAGGAGCCCCTGGGATGGAGCCCCAGGGGGGGCACCCGCAGCACCCAACACTCACCGGGACGGGGCGGGCACTCGAAGTTGAAAACGGGCTCCAGGTGGTTGGACTGGTCAAACTCCAGGTCGAAGGGGTTTTGTCCCTGTGGGAGCCAAGAGCAGGAGTGAGGGGGCAGCCACCGGATCAGCCACCACCAGCTGCCCACCCCAGACACGGAGCCCAGCACACTCCTGCTCTTGGCACACTCCTGCTCACCCCCCCGGGGTGCAGGACAGCAGCTCATGCAGGGACAGGCAGAGCTCCCTGCAGAGCCAGAGGAGGGGGAGGAAGGGTTTGCCCCCATGTCCCGGTGGGGGCGGTGCTGTGGGGTTGTTCCCCCAGGCCAGCACGAGGGGGATGATGAGAGGGACCGGAGCCTCCTGCACAACCCAACCCCAAACCTCCGGCCAGACCTGACCTGCAGTGAGGGGGAGGCAGACAGGCCACAGGGCAGGACGGGCTCCAGAGCCACCATGGCCACGTCCTCCCAGCTCTCTGCAAGGTCACGGTGGGGGGAGCCCGCTCTGTCCTGCTCCAGTGGACCCTGTGTCCCCTGGGCTGTGGGACACCCCCAACCCGGCGGGATCAGGGCTCACCCCAAACCCTCCTGCACCCCGGGATGGAGGGAGGGCGTGGGACCCACTGCCTCCCCCTCCCCAAACCCCAGTGGCACCCCAAAGACACAGAGCCCCTCTGCCCCCCCCTCCCGAGCCGCCCCGTGGGCCGGGGCAGCTCTGGGGGCAAAAGGGCCCCGTCCTGCCCGGGATTATGAAATCTGTTTGGGTGGAGGTGGCCGCTCCAGCGGCGTTCCCAAACCCGCCCGGTGCCCGGGCCAGCTGCCAAGCCCGGCACGGCCAACCCCGGCCACCGCCAGAAACACCCAGAACGTGCCTGTTTACTGCGGCCCGGGGGGGCCGGGGGGGTCCCCAGCCGCTGCAGGGTGCGGGGGTCACGCCACGAGCAACCCCCCACCCAGCACCACTCTGGATCTCCGGGGCCAAAACTCTCCTGCCCCGCGTTTTGCCGCCTCCCCCCTCCCCAAAAAGCCGGACTTGGGGGGCGCAGCATCGCCCCGCAGCCGCCGCCCCCGGGATGAGCCCCGGCGGGATGGGGGGGGGGGGGGGGGGCCCCCGGGGGGGGGGGGGGGGGGGGGGGG